GTGCTGTTCTTTCATTTATAATCATTAAAAATTTAGGATCTTACTGTGTATCGATGATCTTTAAGATGGGCATAACGAGTAATAAATGGCTGTGTAAACAATAATGAAATTAATGGTTGGTAGAGTTTGCGACACACTATCTTTATACGTTGCTTATCTTGTCTTAGCTTTGGCTCGCTCGCGTAAATTGCAAAGTCGACGAGGAATTGAGTTAACCCACTCGTAGACGTTAACGTCTACATTTAACGTTAACTTATCACGACGGCAATTAAGTCTTCCGACTAGGGATTTTCAGAGTTAAGGAATTTTAGCGTTAACAACATTGTTAAGAAGCTCTCTTTCTATATAATATACTTTCTCTCCTTTATTAAAATTTTAATTTTCGTTCTCCTATTTTTTTTTTTTCAAATTCAACAAACAAAGATAAAATTTTTAATTTCAAAGTTTAGTTTAACGAGTTGAAAACTTTGACGAAAATCTTAAGCTTGGAGTCACATCCTGTAAGTTCCCCGAAATTATCGAGGGCAATCGTGGATTATCCTTAGAGTTTGCCGGAACGAAAATAGTGGCCAACAGGGAGACAAAGTGAGAGATCGGAATTTAAATAATCGGCAATTACGAGCGAGCGAAGCGTGAATTTCGCGCGGAAGCGCAACTGCCCGCTTGAGCGCGCTATGTAATTTCCCGATGCATGACCGCACCGAGGTTGACGCCGCAGCATCCGATCTGACGCTGCAACGCGCGTCAATCGAGAAACTGTGTGTCAACAAGACCCCCGGTAGCCGCCGGACATGCACACATGCTTATTCCGGCAAGGAAACGCTCGTGTGAATCGCTGCGATTGCTTCAATTTTCCCAAAACCCTCGTGAAGCCGGTCATATCAATTCCGACACACCCCTCAAAGACTTCAAATTCATTTGGAAATGACATTCATCTCTTTTTCTCCCTTTCAAAAGGTAATTCCACTTGAGAATCCCGACTTCATCTTGCTCCCCTACAGATATTCAATTTAATCATTTCGCATTACTTTAATTACCTTAATTACTCGTTTCTAAATCTCTATATATATAAATGAAAGAGAGAGAGAGAGAGAGAGAGAGAGAGAAGAGAGAGGAAGGAGGGAGGGGGGGAGGAGAGAGAGAGGACTGGTTACACAAGCGCTTAAAAAAATTTACTCTTGGTCCGCGAACAGGAGAGATAAACGCGCTGGCGTTTTCAAAATTCAATGATGCGTAACTGTGATGAGTCTCTTTTCTAACTTGATCGCGGTGAAACGTGAGACGTTTTTTTTTGTCGAACGTTAAAAACGTTCTGACAATCACATTATCTCTTCTGTATGTAAACCGGCGCGTGTTTACACAGTAGATCGCGAGTGGGAAGGAGGAATAAATTTCATCGCGCGCTGTTCGACAGATCAATCATGATTACGTGTATATGTAGGCGTGTCAATGGTCAGACGAACGCGTAAATCACGGGGGTGCGCCGTAAAATGATTTACGTCAATCCGTACCCGTAGTATCCGATTTGCTTAATCGCGAATGGATAACGTGCACAAAAGGGTGAATGCATCCCTCGAAGATATCGATGGCATCCATCACTCCGTAATACACGGTTTTTTTTTACAAACGTACTATTTTTAGTACACATAAAATGTATAAGCGTTATCACGCGTGTAAAGTTCAATATTCAAATTATTATTTATTTGCTGATATTTATATTCACTGAAATTATTATTTATTTGTTTAAATTCCACTCAATATTTATTATTGTTTTTCTCAGAATATATCTTTCTCTTGACAAAAAACAATTATTTTTTGACAACGAACAAATATAAATGGTAAAATATCAATTCTCATGATTTTCAGCGGTAGTTTTGTAATCGTCGTAAGCAAATAACTGCTTGTGATTTTATTGAGGATCGTGTTAACTCGTATCTCAGAATGCTTTTCGTCTTATTACGAGATGTGAACGTGAACGTCTATAAAATTCTCTGGCACTGTTAAAAGATCTCTGTACGCTTTGGATTACTTCGTTTTTATCTGGAGATCTACAATTTGTAGATCTTCGATAGACAAACTTCCAATGTCACTCGGCTCCAAATATGTCATAGAAACGTCGTGACAGACGGAGAATCAGAAATAGAAATTGAAACTCGTGTCTTCATGACCAGATGTAAACAAAAACTGTTTTTGATAGCTCCGTTCCCCGTCGTGTGCATTTCAATGCTGCGCGGTTTTTGTGGTTTTCGTTTTTTATTTAATCTCATCGTATTTTGCCACAAACGTAACGCTTGATCAAGTACGAGTCAACGTAGATGCAAACTATGAAATTGCCACGATCGAAAGACTCCAGTAAATTGTTCATAGTCTTTAGCTATGTTTCAAACTGATGACTATGTTTTTTCCATGCGTACGCAAAAGAAGAAAAGAGAAAAATACGTAACTGTAAAAATTCTTCCATCAATTACGAATTTTAATTTGTTATGTTTTTTACTGTGTAATTTAATTTAGCAAAATTATATTTTATGTTACATTGTAAAAATTCCAATAAATGTATAATAAAATAAATTATATTAATTTTGCCTTTTTCAATTATTTTTCATTTCAACACATCAAACTTGTCTCTCTTGACGTTTTGTGTACATATTGCATAAAAATATAACACTGATATATATTATATATGACTATATATATAAAAATTAAATTAATATTTTGAATTTTTTACAAGACGCGTTTTTCTCGTAGAATTTTGCTATTCAGTATCAAAACGAAACAATTTCACGAAGCGATGTAGTCGCTTCCGTTTTCGTTTTCCAGGGCCACGATGAATAGCGGCCTGAGGTTTACATGATCCGAATAGAGAATCGATTTTTACGAATAGATTCTTGAATCGTTTAGCTCCAAACTTAACAGCAAGCTGGAGGAAACCAATAATAACCGTTTCAGCGGCCACTTCCCCTCGGAAGATCGTTGCGTCGAAATGGACTTTAAAATTGGGATCAAGTCGAAAGCTTTACGCCGCTCGGATGTCACCCGCGAGACGAACTCTGACCTTTGATCGTCGTCACTGCCGAGCATTCGGAGCAATGCTTCACGTTCTAGTGATCAAAGGACGCCGTCTCCCTCGCCCTCCGTGCATTTGCATGCACACGTATATACATATGTGTATGCAACGTGCCCCCCCCCCGCCCCCGATGTAAAGTCGATCGCTGATGACTGTCGCCGTTCTCGCGACATCCACTTCGCGAACGAGGACATCGAAAGAGAACGCCGCGTCGCTGACAAAATCACTTTTTACTTGATTGCATTTAACTGTATTCTTCATTTAACTTCGCGACACTCGATCGACTACATCTACGATCGACCGATCCCTCTGACAAAATCTCTCAAATTCTTTAACGAGAAAACAGCGAATTCTTTACGAAGCTTACGGCTGTCGATACGCGATTAATATTAATTTAGGGCTTGGGACAGCATTTTAATCGCGCAACTTAAATTACAGAATATTTCCCACCCGGTATTAAAGTGCGAAGGTTGGTTGTTCGGAATGCAGACGAATTCAAATTGAATATGAAGTTTTGTTCTTTAATATTTCAAAACTAATAGAAGAATCGGAATGCAGAGAAAATAGCTTATTAATAGAATAGTTAGAATAGTTAGAATTTCTAGTAAGCTGTTATACGATACGAGAAAATCTCTGAGAGAAGAAGAAGATTTACCTTCTTACCGGGAGTTATAAGTTAATATCGTTTTACGTCCCAAAATTTTCCTCAGACGTTCATCGTCGATCTTATTCAGATAGAGTGTCTCAAATGTTTAATAAACTCTAAGATTCATCTTCTATCGCTAATATATTTAGATATATTTAGATATTAATTTTGATTTCGTCGTTCGGAAACTTCACATTTGAGAACACGAAATTTTAGAGATGCATAGATAATGATGTCTTTCATTTTTTATTATTTTATCCTTTTTTAGATAATTCTATCGGGTATAATTCTAGCGGATCTAACTTAATTGCATATCTTATTTTACGCTGCTGTACGTAAAATCAGATTAGGCTTGTGCGCGGGTTGACACTCGATAGAGGAAGGGGAGGGGGAGGGGGGGATGAAAGTATAAAGCTTCATTTTACTGGTCGTTAGACAATCGGATCTATAGGAAGCTTTCGGCATTAAAAACACACGGGGATACTCCGTGAACATATATATGTGCCTTTCTCTCTGTCTCTCGTGTGCAATATCGATTCACCTCGCGGCCTTGTGCTTAATTGAATTAGTATCGGGCTAAAAAAGGGTGACCTTGAGTCAATTAACGACGAGACGGAATAAGACGAAGTGGCGCTCCTCATCACTCGTTCGAGCAACAAAAAGAGAAAGTTCCTCTTTAAGTTGCGATTATTCTTCGCAATTATGTTCCGTCCATATTTCGCGAGCGTATCCGATTACGTTAAGTAACCGCCATGCATATGCAAACACTCGCAGAAACGCAAAGAAATTTTTTTTTTGAAAAAATTAGTCTACACTGGCAAAAATCAATTCCAATACCATTACACATGCCAATCATTTAGAAATATACACACACACACACACACACACACACACACACACACACATATATATATATATATATATATATATATACGTATCGGTTCGTGCAATTTCAATTTTCGTTTTGATAAAAAGATTTTATTTACAATAATTTTTAATTGAAAGATCCGTAACTCTAGCGTATAGAGTTACTTTACTTGTACATCTACTGCTGTTATATTTTAATTTCTATCTATCATAAATAGCAGAAACTTCTATTTTTATCAAGATATACTATAATTTTCTATACATGTATACCGACATTTTTCCGGATACCCCGTTGCCCCGTATTTCAAATCTATATTTTAATGAATATATGGGAACGTTGAATGTATTTTAGTGCGGAAGCTGAGCGGATGGGAGCGGAATTAACGGAGGTATGCGTCGGGTGGTATGCGATATAATGCGTACCAGCTTGCGGACGTGCTGGCGAACCATCGGGCACGACGATCTTGATCTGCGACTTCGGCGTGCCCTCGCTCATGGTAGTTTCAACACGTCTTCGATTTTCCACCGACTGGGGGGGGATGGGAAATACGAGGCCCCTCTTCCAGCTGCCACCCAAAGCTCAGTGTCGTGCACGATTTCTCCGATCCCCGTGCGACTCGCAGGATCTGTTCCGATCGCCGCAGGATCCTTCTCTCAGGATATCTCCCCTCGTCGATTACTTCTTATCTGTACTGATTACTTTGATATGAGCCTTAGACGAAATTGCACTTTTATCATAACTTAATTTACGCGCGAGAACGACTGTTACGATGCTGATTTTTTCGAAATCGATGATCGACGATCGTTTCCGAATCTTGTTTCGCGAGATTTTTGACAGAAAAAAGTGATCAAAGCGATCGATTTCGTCGATCGATCCTCTCAATTTTTCAGAATGATAATTTAGCCGAGTAGCGGAATCATAAAGTAAATCGGTGTGCGATCGAGATCTAGAGGATCTAGATGATTTGGGCTTTATATTTCGCGGCACCTCGCAATCGCACAGATCGTAGCTGTTATGGTTGTTCTAACGACCGATGGTGAAAATCTCAGATACGTACCGCAGGTAGGTTGACAGCGCTCGATATCGATCTCGCGATTTTCGAAATCCCGCTTTACATGAGAGAAAGACGCGAAAACTCGCGAAGCGACCAGGGCGCTCCTCGCGCACGATTCGCCAAACTTGGCGCGACTTACTTTTCCGCCTCGATCTCTCTTGTCAACCCCTCTCGCGATCTGGGAGGAGTCGACGCGCGACACGGGTGGCGAGATCGGCGTACGGCCGCGAGGCGGGCGCTCTCAGTCTCTCAGCGGGTGCATCTCTTCCTCCCTTTCCCCCTCTTCTCTCGCAGGCGGTGTCACAAGGTCACGAGATCACTGGGTTCGGCTGGATTCACGCGCGCTGGCGTACGTACGTTCGATCGATCAGTCGGTCGGTCGGTCGGTCGCGGCTCTCACCGACCGAGGAATACCTCCTCGCTGATTGACGCTGATCGCGATTGCGTTAAGCACAATGAACACACGTATACACACAGATACGCGCGATCGAGTCACGTCTCTGGATTTTCTTCGAGACTCGATATCAGTCGCTTAACGAGGAGTTCTCGAGGATCGACAGAGGATCGACTCCTCGAGGACGCACCCACGTACGATCGGAGACTATTATCCGTGATCGATCGTTAGGATAGTCGATGCCGCGACGCGTTTCCGCGGCTGGGACAGCACCGGGGAGGTTAGACGGCGAGACGGCGCGCAGGAAGAAAGCGGGAGCGCAGCGCGCGTCTGATTAACGTGGACCGTAGCTACTGCGCCGCGGCTGACTGGAGCGCGGACAGTTGCTACTGGGCTGAGCGCAGTAGTACAACCTGCGGTGCGTCGGACGTACTGGCTGCTTCCTCCTCCGGCGCGTTGCGAAGTCACGGGTCACCACCCTTGCGCGTCTCTTCCTGGACGAAATCTCCCTCCGTCCTCCCTCACTCGTCGCGCGTTTCCAGCCTCATTCCTCCTCCGTCCTTCTCTCACCTCCTGTCACTCTCTTCCGTTTTCTCTCTCGCTCGTTCTTCTCACACGCTGATCGCGCTTCAACGTGCCGAGCGCGCAACGATCGCCCGATGCTGACTCGCACGACGGCGGCTTTCCCTCGCAGAAAACGTCGACTGCCGCGCGCGCGCTACTGCGAGGGGGTCGGTGGCGGCGACAAAGCGTTCTCCCCGGCTTTTCCAGGGGCTCCTCTCCTTCTCCCCTCCGCACCCCTCCGTGTCGCGCGCGCACGCTTTTACGCCCTCTCCTTCCGATGATCTTCCTCTCTCCTCCTGTCTCTCCGCGATGCGTTTCCTGTCTCGCTTTATCTCAGCGCTCGCCCTCCTCGCCCCTCTCGCGTCGATGGACCGCGAGGTGTCCCGGGCGTAGTGAGCAGCTCTCACCCGCTTTTCCACCTTCGCACGGCGCTTGCGCGCCCCGGGGATGTCTCCCTCGCTCACCCCGCGTGCTCTCCTTCTGCCTCCCCTGACCATCCGCGTTCTGCGGATGCCCTCTCGGTCTCTCTTCCGTGGTCCACACACCTCCCTCCTTCGTCGCCATTCCCCTCTCATCACTCTGCTCTGCAAATGCTCGCCCTCTCTCTCTCTC